TAACGCGCGATCCGCTCGAGACGCCTACAAAATCTCTCGCGATCGGTGGCTTTACAATATTAATCTTGATATGATGACGCCCGCCTCACCCGCACGATTCCTCGCTGTCTTAAGCTCTCGTAAGCCCCTGGTCCGTCAGCCGCCTCTCTCGTTACTTCGTCAGCCGGATTATTATTCCCGAGAGATCCTGCGTCCTTCGCGCTTTGCGGTCACCACACAAGTGCCGATGGGAAGTTTCCGCGGATCCACGCAGGCCGTTAGGCCCCTTTCCTATCGGGCCACTTCCTGATTTAATTGGCTCATCACGACCACGTGACCTCGCGACAAATCAGGCGAGTCCTTGCGTGTCGCGTATCCTCATGTCGCATGGCGCGCAATTCCAAATCAGCGGAAAATGCTTTCTGGCGATCAATGATCTCTTGGTGATCTCCACGGAGTTCGGCGCTTCGCCTAATGTCCGTCCAGAGTAGGTCCTTTCCGATGTCACGTCTCTTTCCGAGGCGTCTGTAATAAGGAGTGCGATAAACACCAATTGATAGCGACATTCCTAACAGATACAGAATAATACAACCTGCGTGTACCGCACTTCCCCTCGATCGCAGCTAAGGCCTCCATTAATCGTTCTTAAATTTTGAATTTAATTAAATTTCGTATGCATACATGACATGTTTCGGCTCCTTGATTGAGCCTTCTTCAAATGTAATGATTATCAAAATTTCTTAATAAATATAGTCATTACTTATATTATATATACACGTTATACTTATTATATTACATATTAGTTATTATATATACACATATACCTGCAATTGTTTTTTTATTCATTTCATCGTCCATTCCTCAAAAATAAGTTACAAAAGAATCTTAAATGATCATTATATGCAGGGTTGGGTAAGTTAATGATTTTTTTTAACTAAATAAAGTTAAAGTTAATGGCTTTACAAAATTAATAAAGTTAAGTTAAAAGTTGAAGGAATAAAAAATTAACTTAACGTAAGTTAAGTTAATATTGAATTAACTCAAGTTGAAAAAAAAAGTTAATTTCGAAAAAAATTATTTTTTAGATCAAAATGTCCTAATTTTTCTTAAAATGAGATTAAATAACTACAATATAGATTATTAGGTTTACTTTTTAATAAGTCTTAAGCCATAAGAAATTGATCAATTAAATTCGAATAGAGAAGAATATTTAACTGTAATTAGTCAATTTCTTATGACTTAAGGCTTAAAACACTTATTGTAGATCCGGACTAAGGTTTATAACATAAGGAATAACCGCATAAGCCAATTAGAGGGCCGTATTAGCATCTTAAGAAATTACTTAAGATGGTCTTAAATATGAACAGAATATACGCTCTTAGGACGGAATCCATAGACGTTACTCAAGATTCGAGATGGTATTAAACTAGTGCATGA